CGGGTATTTTTAGATGGGGTGGAGGGAGGGGGTGGAGAGGGGCAGGAAGGGAGGAGCAGTGGGGCTGGTTCTGTCATCAAAAAGGAATTTGAGGAATGTGGCCATTCTGGGGAGACTGGAGGTGAGGGGCCTGGATTTGGGGGTTAAGACGTATACACCCTGAGGATGCTGACAGGCAATTAGTCATGTGTCCCGAGCACCCCTCTCCTGGGCCAAGTCCCCCTGCGCAGTCCCCCACCCTGAGACTGACAGGCCAGCTGGGTCTCAGGGCGCAGCCTCTGGTAACCTGGACGTGGGTGACAGGCTCAGTGACACATCCTGACACAGACTGTCAGTGTAGGAGGTGCTGGGAGGCCATCGGGGCCTCCTGCCTGTTGTACCGAGAAGGGAAGGGACTTGTCCAGGGCCTCCCCAGGGAAGGGCAGCCAGGCAGGCACCAGCCCAGCCATTGCAGACACATGGCCACTGAGAAGGCAGCCACCGGCCAGGCCTCCCTCACACACAGGGGGTACCCCAATCAGGCCTCCCTCACACACATGGGGTACCCCAATCAGGCCTCCCTCACACACATGGGGTACCCCAATCAGGCCTCCCTCACAGGGGGTACCCCAGCCAGGGCTGTCTCACAAGGGATCTGCACTCGGAGGTCTGCAGCTGGTGGCAGGCCCTGGAGGAGGAAAGCTGCTGGGGCTGGGAGTGAGGGGCCCAGCTGTCCTGCCCTGGGGCCACACCTGCCCCTGTCTGTCCTGCAGGGACACCTGTCCAGCCACCTGACATGGGTCTGCCTCCCTCCCTCTCTCCGCTGCCCCTGTCCCCCTCCCCCAGGGAGCGGCCCCCGGCCCTGGAGGGTGGGGGAGCACCTGGGGCCTCCCAGCACCCTTGGCTGCCCTGCTGTGCCCTGAGGTGGGGGCTGGAGGGGGGAAGGGCCTGGTGTGGGTCCAGCCTGCAGCCACCAGCCACTGTTTTGTCTCTCGCCCATCTAGGTCGGAACGAGCTGATCGCGCGCTATATTAAACTGAGGACGGGCAAGACCCGGACGAGAAAGCAGGTAGAGACTGTTGTGGAGGCCGCCCTGCCTGCACGCTCTCAGCCCCTCCTCCCCATGCCCCATCCCGCCCTCTCTGTACGACTTCACACCCCCTCGAGCTGCATCGTCACACACCACTGGCTTTTCTGACCACCCACCACCCACCTAAGACTTGTGGTTCAGTGACCGATGATACGGCCACGGGGCAGCCGTGGCAGCTCCATGGTCACTGCCCTGAGAGGCCCATGGGCCGGTCAGGGGACAGACGGCTGGATGGACGTGCGCAGGGGGGTGCGCTGTGGGGCAGGCTCCTAGCCCAGGCTGGGCAGGGGAGGGGAGGGGAGGAGCTGGGAAGGCTTCCTAAAGGGAAAGGATTTGAGGGCGGGAGAGGGAGGAGAGGGAGCGATTCCCCAGGCTGAGGAAGTCGGATACAGATGTAACTGAGTCCGCACAGAGCTACTGGCTATTACTTTCCTTGGTCCTCACGGCAGCCTTAGCGGGAGGCACAGCAGTTCCCTCCGTTTTACAGAAAAGGAAACTGAGGCACGGGGAAGTTAAGACTGCCTTGCTGGTAGGTGGTGGGTCCAGGGTTCAGCCCATTAGGCAGGAAAGAACCTTCAGTCAGCGCCATGGAAGGGACTAGAGCCGGAGTGGCTGGGGGCAGGTGGCAGGAATATTGGCGCTGGAGCAGCCGGCCATGGGTTAGGGCCGGGCAGGGGCCTAGATCAACAGCAGTGGTGGCCGGGGCAGTGGCAGGGGTGAGGGTAGGGATGGTGGATGGGAAAACACGATGAGCTGAGAGGTGACTGGGCGGCGGGCAGTCCAGGGAGGGCAGCGTGTGCACAGGAGACCTGAAGGGAATTGTTCCGGGTGGGTTCCCCGGGGGGTTGCCTGGGGGACAGGCAGCCTGGAGGCAGGTTCCTGGAGGAGTGGAGGCCCCTCTGACCCTCAGTCTCCCCCCCGCTGGGGCCGGCCTGGGCTGGGCCCTGCACCCACCCCCCGGGCTGCATAGACAGGCTGAGCTGTCCCACCCACTGCCTCGAAGGGAGATCCGGAGTCCAGTACCCAGTGGGGGAGCATTTATGAGCCGCTGCCCTGGGCAGCTCAGGTCGCACAGCATTTATTTCTTTAGCAAGTGATTGAGCTCCTGCTACGTTCCAGGCACGAGGGATGCAGCAGGGAACCAGACATTCACGGGCCCTGGGCCCTGCTCCCTGGAGCCTGGGAGCAGGAGGAACACTGCCTGTCAGACCCCTGGGTCCAAGCTCCTGCTGCCTCTCTGCCGGGAGGTGCGTGTCCTGCCTCACCCAACAGACGTGTTCATAGGACGTGTGTCGGGGGGAAGGGGCTGAGGCCCCCGAGGCCCAGAGCGGGCAGAGAGCCTCTTCCTTCTGGGCCCGCGTTATACCTGCTCCCGGCCAGAATCCCGTGAAGGCTGGCTGGCCAGTGAAGTTTTATTTTCATTATAAAATAAAATGATAAAACACTAATTATAAACGAAACCAGCTGTCGGCAAGCTCAGAGCTTTAAGAAACGCTGGCTTTCGTCGTTTTGCACGGCGACCCTCCTCTAACTGCATTTTCCCTTCTAACTCCCAGACCTAATGTCTCCTTGACAGGGAGCCAGCCCATGTGGTGAGGACAGGCGTGTGCTTTTGTGTCTCAGAGAGCAAGCCGCTGACAGACAGGGCTGTTTCAGTTTGTTTGTTTGTTTTTTAAATATATTTTTATTGATTTCAGAGAGAAAGGAAGAGGGAGGGAGAGATAGAAACATCAATGATGAGAGAGAATCACTGATCGGCTGCCTCCTGCCTGCTCCCCACTGGGGATCGAGCCTGAAACCCGGGCATGTGCCCTTGACCGGAATCGAACCTGGGACCCTTCAGTCCGCAGGCCGATGCTCTATCCACCGAGCCAAACCAGCTAGGGCCAGTTTTTTTTAAATGCAGTTTTGGTTTTTTTACAGATATTTATACAATGAGTAGCAAGTACAGTGCCTTCATATGGCAAAAAAAAACAGCTAAATGTCACATTAGGATTAAGTCCCATGTGACTTCCAGCTGTCGCAGAGCTGACCATCGGGAGCTGAAAGAGCCCAGGTAGCATCGCTGGTGGTGAAGCAAGGGGCCTCTGGAGTTAGGCCGCGTGGGTTCGATCCCCAGCCCAGCCCCCTGCTGTGTGACCTCGGATAAGCTGCTACCCTCTCTGTGCTTTGGTTTCATTATCTGCAAATCAGAAATAATATTAGTGCCGCCTTCTTAGTGGTGCTGTGGAGTCCGATGGGTTGGTGGGTAAAGTGCTGGGAGCACGGGAGGCGTGCGCAGTCAGCGTCACTTGCGGCAGTGCCACGCCACGGTCGGTCGTCTTGCTGAGCTGTGTCTGATCCTTGCGTGGTCTGAGGCGGGTGAGGAGCACCCGCCGGGGTCCTAACCAAGTACCATGGGGGCTGCCCAGCATCAGATACGTGGTAACTTTCAGTCTGTGATTAAAAAGGAAAAGAAACTGGTTTTTTGTGGGAATAAAGACTCCTTGCAAGGAAAGCCAACAGCAGTGGCTGGGAATGAAGGTGTGAGGTGCCCAGAGGAGCCACGTGTTCCCTTGTGTTTCATGGAGAAAGTGGCATTTAGGTTCCCTGAGGCTCAGGATCAGATCCTCCACGTGTCGAGGGTGTGTGGTACCAGCCCATGGCACACCCACCCTGACCGTGACCAGCTCAGGTTTGCCGGAGAGGAAGGCTTCAGGGAGGAGGTGCTGGAAAAGAGACACAATTAAGAGTTCCTACTGTGTGCCTTTATGTTTACTGCCATCTACTGGTCCAAGGAGAAGGGAGGCATGTTGGGGGAAGAAGCTGCGTGAGCAGAGCGGAGTAGGGCAGGCCTGGCCGGTGGGCCAGCGAGCGGGTGGGTGACTGGAAGATGGAGGTGGTGGTATGGGGGGTGGGGGAGGATTATAGAGAAGATGGCCGGACATATATTCTCACGGCCAGCAGGACACATGCCATTGCTAGCTCTGGTCAGCCCCTGGGCGGCGGGGGGCGGATAAAGGTCCGCGTGCTCTTCCTCTGGGTTGATGCAGCCCTGCACCGGGCACACAGTGTGGCCGCAGGGCTTGGGCCGGACTTTAGCGCTCACCGCGGGTGCCTTGCGCAGTGGACAGCTGGTGGTCCTAGAAGCCCGTAGGCTCTTGATCACAACAGGGCCAAGAGGAAAGCAGAAGGGCCAGGCAGGGCTGTGAGTGTCTGCCCCCGGGGGCCCCAGAGTCCCCCCCGCTTACACCGGTTCCCAGAGACGAGGGCCGGCTGCTGCCTGTGGCACCGAGCTCACCTCCTCACTGTGTGTTTCCCTCTCCGGCCGGCGCGGGGCGGCCCCTAGGTGTCCAGCCACATACAGGTTCTAGCTCGGAAGAAGGTGCGGGAGTACCAGGTTGGCATCAAGGTACGTCGGACCTGACGGGCCTCCAGCCCCTCCTGGGCCCCTCTCCATGGCGCCTCCACCGCGGCCTGCACCGCTCGGACCTCGGCCTCGGCCTGCTCTCCGGTCCCCTGTGCCTCCTTTCCGGCTGAAGCTCTGTTCTTGCCTCTTCTTCCACTCTCTGCTCTTTCCTTCTTTCTCTCTCTCTCTCTACAGGTCTCTAGCCACTTGCAGGTTCTAGCCAGGCGGAAATCTCGGGAGATTCAGTCCAAGCTGAAGGTATGGGCTCCCTTGGCGCTTGGCCTGGCCCTGCCCAGACCTGTGGCTGCTCTCTGACCCCAGGTCGGGGCAGGGAGGGGGCTGCGGAGCAAGCAGCCCACAGGCCGCGGCAGGCTACACAGGGCCTGGAGGCCGAGCAGGACAGCAGTCCTTCCGTGAAGGAGAGGAAGACCATCTGGGCCCCGAAGGCCCCCTCTCTTCTCCGATTTCCTTTTCCTCCTTCCTCCTTTGCTGCTTGCTGTTTGCACGGGGACTTCGGGAAGGCAGGAGGAGACGCTGGAGGGCATGGGCTGGCAGAGCTGTTGTGTGGGCATGGCCGTTCCTTCCATTGGACACTCCGTCCTGGCTGCTCTGTGCCTGAGGATCTCAGAGCCTGCGTTCATGGCCTGGGCCCTGGTCAGGGCCCCTGCTGGCTGCATCTTCTCTCTGCCCAGCAGCCTGGTACATGAGCAGACCCCAGGGACACCAGCTTGGTCCACCATCTAGGTCTCCAGCCTGTCCTCCGTCATCCGACCCTGTCCAGGGCACCCCCAGCTTAGAAACACTGCCTCTGGGTGGCAGAGGGTGTGGGGGGGGAGGGGCTGGGAGGGCCACAGCCACCTCAGCTTCCCTCGGCTTCCCAGAAGCTGGGAGTCAGGTGGGCGTGGAGTGGAGGGAGGTGAGAAGACATGCCCCCCCCAACCCCCCCATATAGCCCTCATTTGTGCGTCTTCTAATCAGGCTCCCTCTCCTTCACAGGCCATGAACCTGGTAAGTAGCACTGCCCCTCCCCTAGGGGACCTGGGGGGAGAGCACCTAACATAGAATTTTCAAATTCTGGATTGTACATCAGTGTAACTGACAGGTTCTCAAACCTTAGCACAAATGGAATCGCCGGCAGGGCTTGTGGAGACATTTCGGCCTCACCCCAGGCTTTCTGATTCAGGGCCTGAGCGGGGCCTGAACTTGGCCTTTGTAGCAAGCTTCCAGGCGATGCTGGTGCGATTGGTCAGGACCGCACTTTGAGAACCACTGAGAAAATAGAACAGAAAGTATGACAGTGCATGACACAAATTAGGGGACATATTTTGGTACCTGCTAGGTTACAGAATGAAATAAAATGGTTTCTTACTGTGCACTGTGGTTAGAGGGGTGATGGACACTTAGGAGACAGGCCCAGAGTGGGGCCGAGGGCCTCCTTAGACCACACAGCAGAGCTGGGGCTGTAATCCAGACATGGACTTCCAGAGCCCCGAGAGCCTGGGAGGGGGGCCCTGGGGCAAGCCCTGTCCTGTCTGCGCTCATGTGGCGCCTCCCTCCCCTAGGACCAAGTCTCCAAGGACAAAGCCCTCCAGAGCATGGCGTCCATGTCCTCTGCCCAGATCGTCTCCGCCAGCGTGCTACAGAGCAAGTTCAGCCCGCCCTCCCCCCTGCCCCAGGCCGTCTTCTCCACTTCCTCACGGGTACGGTGCGGGGTCCTGGGAGGCGGGGCTGGGGGGTGAGGACCATCGATTCTGAGGGACCTCTGACTTGGTCCCATCTCTGCAGTTCTGGAGCAGCCCCCCTCTCCTGGGACAGCAGCCCGGACCCTCTCAGGAGTGAGTATCCTGGGGCATCCTCCCCACACCCTCCGCTTTCCCTCAGCAGCTGACCTAGGCTTCCCCCCTCATCTGGGTTCCAGCAACAAATGAGCCATTTTTAATTCAAAAACCTAGGGATGGAGCGCGCCAGTAAGAGAGCTAAGGCATTTGTCTATTCATTCACGTGTTTATTCATTCATCAACCCACTCATCCCCTTGTCACCCGTCCTTCAGTTATTTTTCATTCAGTTAATCTCTGCATTCACCTCTCAGCCGAGCAGCCTAGTGTACTCGGTTCCTCCAGTTCTCAGATGACTTTCTTCCAGAAACGCCCTCCGTTTAAGCACAGCTCCCGGGAGGGCTGGGACGCTGCATTAAACGTGCGCGTCAGCTGTGAGACCAGCAGGCTCTCACCGAAGTTAGTGCGGAGCAGACAGAGCCGGCCAGCAGGCCGGGGCCTCTGCAGAAAGGCTGGGGCTGGTGGCTCTCTGCTGGGATCCCAGATGAGACCCCAGGTGACTAGGCTGGACGGAGGGTGGGGCACGGGATGGCCCTCTGACCAGGCTGTGCTCCTGTCTGCAGCATCAAGCCCTTTGCACAGCCAGCCTACCCCATCCAGCCGCCCCTGCCGCCGGCGCTCAGCAGTAAGTTCCCGGGGCCCGCCACCGCCTGCCCTTCCTTTGGCACCTGCACCTCTGCTCCGAGCGCTCGGGCCCAACTGTGTGTGAGCACATGTGTGTGTGCCCATGTGTGTGTGCCCATGTGTGAGCATGTGTGTGTGCGCCCATGTGTGAGCACTGTGTGCCCATGCGTGTGTGTGCCCGTGTGTGCCCGTGTGTGTGGCCCATGTGTGAGCATGTGTGTGTGCGCCCATGTGTGAGCACTGTGTGCCTGTGTGTGAGCACATGTGTGTCCGTATGAGCGTGTGTGCCCATGTGTGAACAGGTGTGTGAGCGTGTGTGTGTGTGTGTGTGTGTGTGTGCGCACATGGCCAGCCCGTCCGGGAGAGGGGAGTGGGGGGCATCTATAGGGATCGGGACAGACCAGGAAGAGCCCCCTTACCTTCTACAGTGTCACCCCCCCCCCTCCGCTGCAAGTGCACACCACCAGCAGCATCACATTCATAGACTGTGTGTATATAAAATCCTTGTAAGGAAATACACCAAAGTCTTAACAGAGGTTCGTTCTAAGTGTTGGGATTTTGGATAATTTTTAAAATGTTTTTATTAATTTTAGAGAGAGAGAGAGGAAGGGAGAGGGAAAAAGAGAAACATCGACGAAACACCCATCGGCTGCCTCCTGCGCGCCCCCTACTGGGGTCCAGTGGAGACTTGGGCATGTGCCCAGACCCCCGGCCTCTCAGTGCGTGGGCGACTCAACCAACTGAGCCACACTGGCCAGGGCTGGATAATTATTATTTCCCCTTTGACATGTCTGTGTTTTCTGCTTGAATACCCGCTAACAGTGACTAAGGGAAAACCCGCCAGGTACGCACTGGGCCCCACACAGGCAGGCAGGCTGCACACTGCACAAGGGCACCCCGCGGGGCGTGGGAGTCCATCCTGGCCGCCTCCCCCAG